GTAGTTCACTGAGAAGCTATGCAAACAGCTGTCATTATCGCGAACGATTTCTTCGATTTCATAATCGCGCGATTAAATCGTCTGCGATTATGAACACGATATTGCGTAGCTTGTCAGTGAACTACGGCTCTGTGAAGTAAATGCTGCTCCATCTGAAAGCATGTGAAAATACTACATTTAATAACATGTTTTACTCCAAACTCACTTCATAACGTCAGTCGAGTGTTTTAAATAAATCCTTGAGATGATGTGGCTTCTTACACAGAATAAGGCACGCAACATATTTCATAGTATTCTAAGCAGTGATAAAGGCTATGTCGATTAGCATTGCATTATAATATAAATTATAAGTCGAACTCGGATAAACCATATATTGTCGTAGTCGTGTGTTTATTAGTCACGTTGAATTAATGAAAGCAGTTAAATCTTCTGGGTTTCTTCTGAAAGGCTTATTTGGCGTTTCAGCGCGAGAGCGCCCTCTGGCCTTCAGATGGAGATTTACTGCTGATCACAGAACTGTGCTTCACTGAAAGATACACATGACAATCGCAGCTTCTGCCTAAAATGCGATTTATCGCCTTTACGATTTAATTTAGATTAATCATGCAGCCCTAGTGTGCGCGTTACCTGCGTGCTGCATCTGCGTGTCTCTCTCTACAAACAATTAATTAGACTACTTCAAAAACAGCGATTTTAGCACCCCGTTGCTGAGGAATATAATGTAGTGATCTAGTAAACAAGTTTGTGCGATCTGCAATCTCCGACTCTCTCTCTCTCTCTCTCTCTCGCTTGCTCTCTGTGTGTGTGTGTGTGTGTGCACGAGTGATGTGTCTGGGTTTGTGTGCTTCAATTAAAGCAGCGCATTTATATAGGAACGGTGATTAAACTGACTTGGAACTACCTGTGCATTAAACGGTTTTACTGCATACCTGCCAGCCAATCAGAATCCAGTATTCAGACAGACCATGGAATAATTGTTTGTGGAACACAAGTGGACACATGCTACATTTCCATATATACTAGTTTATGGACATGGACAATGTCAAGTGAATAAGTGAACACTAGATTTCGAAGGGCTGCTGTTGAGAAAAAAAAAAGAATAACAAATAAAAATTTGGACCATTTCTTTCACAAAATGATCAGATGTTCTCAGAAGGCCTGAAATATTGTCTATCTTTTTGTAATCTTTAAAATGGCTTATTTTCTATTCCACTTAAGAAAGTTATACAGGTTTAGCACAACATGATAGTAAATTGTTATGTGTATCATCCTAAATGTTATATTTAAAAACTCTACAGTTAAACTGAATTTTAGAGTGGGATAAAAACAAAATGTAAGTCACATCTTTTTCTCTCTTTGGCTTTTCCCAACAATATAGTTCTTTGACCCATCTGCATCTGTATGAGTCACACACACTGCCTGATAAATGGTTGAAGTAATACTCTCACAAACAGTTAGCAGGAGATAGTGAATATGCCGCTCAATGTGTTCGACGAGCTGGTGGTTTGCCCTGCAGTGTGCAGATATGCACTAGAAAGGAAATAGAGGCATTTTTCATCGGTTTTCATCAGCTGATCGGCTCCACTGAGAGCCAACCCAATAGAGCCAAGGGGCATTGAGTCTATCCTCAAAACGTCCAAATGCTCTATCTGAAACCTGTTATTATTCACAACATTTGCTAACACTGCAGTGTGGCGTTGGCCCTGACTCTCAATGCAATCATATACTTTGTTTGGAGAGGCAGTTTGTGTTATGCATGTAAAGAAAAGAAATGTCTTTTTGTTCCAGGGCAGCGATGGACCGCAAGGCGGAACCGGACCTCCTGGACCTCCTGTAAGTTCTGAATTAAAGTGTGCATTTCCTACACCACTAGGAATTGCAAACGTAATTGAAAATATAATAAATGCTTTCCTACAGGTTTCCATAACTCTTCCCGCTGTCTTTCATTGGTCACTAAACATATAGCTCTGCTCCAGTCTAGCATCACATGGTTGGAGTTTTGCAAAACAACAAGCAATTTTTGTGCAACAGTATTTATCCATTTTGGGAAAATCAGTCTACAAGTGGCTTATTCATAGTTATCTCTGCGCATAAAGATGGAATGGGGAAAATTATTTTACATAGAAAAAAATTGGACACTTTAGCTATAAATGATATTTAAAGCACAAGTAAGATGTGTATTTGATTTTAACAAATAATTTATATTTATAGGCCTATATACTATAACATGTAGACTTTTTTGAATACTTGTATTTGCAGTTTCTTTCAGATCTGAAAGTTTGACATTTTAATAGCAATTTGTATGTATTCCCAACTAATTTAACGCAATTAACCCTATAAAGCTTGCATGATACATCAATTTCTAAGAACTCTTAATTATCAACATGATCAAAATTGAAAAACCTGTTGCACACAATCTTCTTCATGCCTTCTGTCGTCTGATTGATAGTTCATATTCTTTTAAAAACCCTTTTAAAATGTAAATAACAGTATGATTCAACAGGCTTTATTTATTTATTTATTTATTTATTTTAAAGACTTAAAAAGTATTTTTATTTATATATACTTTTTTAAAAAGAAAATTTGATTTCTCTTGACATTTGTATTCCAAACGTTAGGCTTTAAAAGAGTTCAATTAGGGACCAGTACAGGTTCAAACCTTAATATTAGAGAATTTAGTTTGTTTCCCTTATGATTTTATAGCCTGGTGAATGATAAATAAGGAGAAAAATCTCATTGACTTGTATTTGAAGGCGGAACCTGTGACATATCTGGAAACTATAATATCATATTGATTTGGGCAGGTTATTTTGACTTTAGCCAATCAGCAACCACCTAGCAACATGCTAAAATCTTGTAAACTTGTTTTTTTCTAGGGTGTCCCATATGCAGAGGGCAATGGAATGAGCAGTCTCTATAAGATTCAGGTATAACTTTCACCTGATACTAAAACACACAATATTTTAGATTGTAACTGTATTGGTCATATTGTTTATACCTTTTAAACTGTCCTCATTATTATTTACAGAATGGAGCAGCTAATACAGGTCAACCCGGACCACCAGGGCCCCCGGTATGTGTCATATTTTTTAAATTATATCCCACATAAAATAAACAGTTCTTTGAACGTAGCCCACCACATGGAATCAGTTGTTGCACTTTTAATGAAGTTTAAATGTCAATACACAAAGAAGCTACATTGATTTGGGAATCTGTATTCGGTTTAGCTGCTGTCCGCCCCTGATTTCAAGAGTTTTACACAGCATGAATTCAAGGACGGATCACGGCCACACAGACACAAATCTGAAACTCAGACAATGACAGCAGCCCAAAGGGAGAAGGGCAAAACAAACCCGTCACACATAGTCAACAAAGTAGCTGCTTGTAAAGAAGGGGTAATTGAAATGCAGCGCTTTAACAGGAAAAAAAGAGAAATGCATATAAAAGAGCTTTTCTCCCCTAGCGGAATCATCCGATTAGCTTATCAACGCAGCGACACGCACACTTATCTAGTCTGTATATAATGTGTCCTTCCTTTCCATGAAGAACAAGAGTGTATTCCCTCCTGGGCCATCTTTTCCAGACCGCCCAGAACTCTGGAAATGCTAAACCCTTATCAGCAGGTCTGAAAGAGGACACTCTCCAATCTCCCTCCTCACTGCGATAGACTCAAAGAGCTGCTTACAAGTCCCTCAGGGTGCTTTGTTTCGGTTTATCCTCAAGTGAACTTGTTCTAAGTGGGACGTGACACTTTCTGTTGACGTGCCGCAGCTGGAGGAGACCACACTTAGACAAAGCACACTTAAACTTCGATTGAACTTCATTTGAACAATCAAGACGCTTGTGACTGGGAGAACGTTTGATGTGACTGGATTGTGTTAGCATGCAGTGTCATGATATATTAGCTCACTGGTGTGCTAAAGGGTAAAATTAGCTTTCGAATGTAATATTCAGTCTTGTTTTATTGGGGGAAATAGGGTAAATTAGAGGCACTCTTGGCTGTCATCTCAAAAAGTGGTTCAATTTGCCTCAATTCACTTTGGTGTTTATATTGTATGTCTAATGCAGCTCGGTTTAGGCTGTTTTCCAGAACCTAGCATGCTTCATCACTGTCTATGGTCTACAAACTCAGCATCCTAAGCATCATGAAACCTCATAAGTGAATGATTTAAAGGGGTCGTGAACTGCCTTTGTTTTTTATTTTGTACTGTTCTCTGAGGTCCACTTATAATGTTATCAAGATTTTTACATTAAAAATATATAAAACAGAAATATATATAACAATATACATTTATAAAATAGCCCACTCAGTACATATCAAACTATCTGTAATGCAAGACAAAGCAATAGCGACCACATAATAAAAAAGTTACTCACACTATGGTGTGACATTGGATCCAATATAGTCAGCACAGCATTGTCTTTTAGTTTAAATCTTTTAGAAGATCCTGTGATGAATTGTGCCTTATTTGTTAATGAATATGTGATAAAATGAAGTGAAAAAAGGACCAAGTTCTTACTGATGTGGTCTGAAACTTCAGTAAATATGAAGTTTATTGTTTGGTTTGGCTCTTGTCATTTACATACTGTGTGCACGAATCAGTGGGCGGGGCAAAACAGGCAGCGATGTAGAAGCAGGCGTTGATCTTCTTTTACGGAGGTGGTGTTTAGCCACAATATTACGTCAGAAAGTGGCACATTCCACAGCCTGTCGTTTTGGCCGATAGGCTTCAATACAAGCTGTTTTTAGACTAATTAGAAAGTTTTGAGTTCTGAAACTTACAGAATGTTTTTATTTATATATCAAAAGATCAAGGGAATTTTGATTTCTCAGTTCATAACCCCTTTAAAACTCTACATAGGCATAAACAGTCACTCATGCACAGCCCACATGATGCCTTAAATTGTTAGATAGGTAGATAGATTAATGAAGCCTTTGCGTTACATGCATAATTGTACACTCATTTGAAAGAAGATATTTGACAGTGGAATTGCAGTGGAAGCGGAGTTACAAATAAATATAAGCAAAATTCAGTGTTTAAGTGCAGCTTTTATGCATTTTAGTGTGAATAATTAATAAATTATGCATTTTAGTGTTAATTATTAATACATGAAATATAATCAATTAAAATTAATGTTAAATAATAATAATAATATCAGTTAAGTTGTACATTTTTTGCTTGAAGCTAGACTTTTTTTAATTTAATTAAGTTTCCTTTTTAGTTCTAGTTCCTTGAATTCAAATTACAATATATACTATATGTTCAATGTATTTATTAATTCAGAATCAGAAAGAGCTTTATTGCCAAGTGTGCTTACACAAGGAATAATTCATTATATCATTAGTTGTTTATCAAATTAAGTTTTCTCCAAACTGTGTTGGAAGGACACTTCCCATAAGATTTCCTAAAATGCATCAACATCTTAATACAATTATTTAATTAGTAGATTTGAATGATGTCAAATATTTATCTAATAGCATTGTAGTGGTCATTTTGTGGTGCTCTATGGCAAAATTAAAATCTCTAAGTTGTTTTGATAGTACTGAACTGAGTTAATATTTCTAATCAGTTGAGTAAAAACGTATTCTACATATGAATTATGAATGCATTCTACACATGTAGTCAATCATAATGTAATTATTTGTCACAAACTTCCTAACATTCATTTCTTGTGTAACTTTAATTTCTTTGAATTACAAGTCAATAAATTCTATTCCGATCATACCAATTAAACTTCCTGGGGTATATTGCCAGTTCAGTTCAAAATTCACACTCATGAAATGCAAAAGATCCGATTCTTAAATTCTGAATTGTGCTCTACCCGGTCAGATCGACAGCTCACTAGGCTTTGGAACAGAATTCTGTCAGCATAATTCCCTCGTGACTCTTTTGTTACTGTTTGACAGCAAACCTAAGCAGATGTCATCCAGCTAATTACACAGATTGGATTAATTGATAGCACATAGAGCCGTAAGGTCAAATAAGGTTTCACAGGATAATTCTGTGCTTTTCTTTTCCAGGGGCCCAAAGGAGATGAAGGAAGGATGGTGAGTGTTGTGTCGCTGTGATTTGTATTGAATGGTCTTCTGCCCTTCTATGCCTCTGGATTGAGAGAAACAGGTCTGGCCAGCACTCGCTTTCTGGCTAGTCTCCATTAATCACAGCTCCTGGCTCAGAAGTAGCCCGAGAGCAGCCGAGCACGACAGTTTAGTCACACAGCATTCTCAACAACAAAAGGAGTGATCAGGAACGGCGCCTAAATCAAATTGTTGCCGCATATTTCTCTGCCTGTGGGAGATGTTGTGAACGCGGTACATGCGCAGCCCCCAAACAAAATCACATGCACGACAATACAATAGCAACAATGCAGCTCCAGCAACCAAAAAGCTGGCACTTCCTGTTCTCTCGGGTGCAATTTTGATATTTTTTTATTGTTTCTTTTTTTCCAAAACCATTTTTCAGTGGCATGCTAATTTGACATTTGAATAAATGGTCCCAGCAGTCTCTGGCACCGCGCTAGAATTGCCCCCATCTGTCTCCAGTCGATCCTCTTTCTGGTCCCATGTAGGTCTGCGCTCTGTTATACATGGCAATCTACACGTGCGACAATTACTGCCGCAATCCGTCTCGGTGGCGAGGCCCATTAACGTAGCGCCCGCTGCTGTCCGTCAATAGCGACTGAGCCGTGAGACGAACGTAATATATGATGCTTGTACGCAGATTTTTCAGCACTCCGTGGACTGGTTCGGTGTGGAGAAGCAGCCAATCACTTGGGGTGAATTACGAGCTGCTCTGTTTGCGGCGAAGTACGTGTGATTTATTAACACGGCAGGCTAAATGAAAATGGAAGGAGGAAAGTAAATGCTTTGTCAGGATGGTAATGCGACAGAATTAGAGTTAACTCGACGCACTTGTCAGGGCGAAGATAAATATGTGGATTTTAATTGAAATAATCAGTGACATGCCTTGAAAAATGGCATTTGGTGTTTGTTGAGTCGCTAAAATACATTACACAACCAGTTTGGTAGCTACACTGTTGTGATCTGCTTCATCAGTCACTTTGACCTGGAAATACATTTTGAGTTTCCACTGAAGGAAACAGGAAAGTCACAACTTTCTAAAGAAATTATTTTTTCTATTCCAAACCATTGCTGTGATATAATCTTTTAAACTTCTGGCACTTTTGTGGCTCAAGGGTTGATTTTTATTATATATATATGTTTAATTCTTTTATGCATATATATGAAGGGAACATTACATTTGACTTGGAAACTTTTTACCATGCTTTCATCATTTAGTTTTACTACTTTTCAAATGCCGTTATGTATAGATTTGATTGTTTAACTTGTGTCCCAGAGCCAGAATATCCAATATTCAGAATATCCAGCTAATCCATCATAAAAAAAATATATAAATGTTACATTTTGAAACTATTATAATATAAATGAAAAGTAAAAATAAACCTTTTCAATATTTGTGTGAAAATGTTGGATCATGCAACATGGTGTAATGGCTGCTGAAAATTCAGTTTTGTCATCATATGAAAAAAATTACATACTATATTAAAATAGAGAACAGTTATTTTTGATTGTAAAAAATATTTCGCAATATTACTGATTTATTTTCTGTATTTTCAATCAAATAAATGCAGCCTTGGTGAGCATAAGAGACTTAATTAAAATGCAAATATATTACATAAAGAAGTTATTATATAATAGCAATTATTCATTTATCCCCAAATTTCCACCCCAACAAACAATTGTGCTCCTGATAAAGTTATATTTATTTATTTATTTAAATTCTGCCTCATTTGCAATCCATCTGTAATCTGATCAAATTGTGCATACATACATATATATATATATATATATATATTAGGGCTGCCCTCAACTAAGGCTTTTTTTGGTCGATTAGTAGTCGTTCATTTTAAGCATTAGTCGACTAATGGCACGTTTATTAATAAACCATTTAAATAATTATAATGATCCTTTAATTGCCTACAAAGCCTAATAAGCGCTCAAGCGCATGCATAAAGCTTGCCACAGCGCACCGCAGAAGCTATGATTATGAATGTGTCAGGGAAAAACAGTAAGGAGGCTGCATTAACATTTTAATAATTCACTGATAAACAAATGCTTTCTCGTCATCTCCACAGAAGTGGATGCGCCTGTATGCATGTTTCACATGCATTATTACATAATCTGAGAATATTTGTTTTACATTTGAATTGGTTCATTTGAAAGTAGACATTTCACTATCTATTAGGGGTGTAACGGTACACGTATTTGTACCGAACCGTTTCGGTATTCATTTTAAGCATTAGTCAACTAATCGCATGTTTATTAATAAACCATTTAAATCATTATAATGATCCTTTAATTGCCTACAAAGCCTAATAAGCGCTCAAGCGCATGCATAAAGCTTGCCACAGCGCACCGCAGAAGCTATGATTATGAATGTGTCAGGGAAAAACAGTAAGGAGGCTGCATTAACATTTTAATAATTCACTGATAAACAAATGCTTTCTCGTCATCTCCACAGAAGTGGATGCGCCTGTATGCATGTTTCACATGCATTATTACATAATCTGAGAATATTTGTTTTACATTTGAATTGGTTCATTTGAAAGTAGACATTTCACTATC